AAAAAATTACGATGACTCCAAATCCTGTATATTTTTTCCGGTAGAAAAGTGAGCAATAAATTTTCAGCAACATCACGTTGTCTACCCTGTAGAGGGGTCGCTCTCGGCCTCACCCACCGGGATCGGTGTCGCCTACTAAGGCTTCGAGACTAAGATAGAGATACTTCTCTTTAAAGGAGCTCAGCCAATCACTTCCACGAGATCGTCAACGGTTGATCCGCTTCCGATCCGAACTCTTAGTGGGGGTTAGCTTTAGGTGTTAGCTTACGACTTTATTGTTATTGATCAAAAAGGTCTAAACAAAGAGTGGGTACTTTGAGACCAAATTTCAGGTTGGCATGATTTAGTGTTTTGCGTCCACCTCGTTACTCCAGCAAGGTGTAGCCCTAGCCCAAGTCGGATCAGGGTGAGTTTTTAGCGATGAACATATATAAGTTCTTGTTTCGTGATTTATTTATCTTTTTTATGGTTATTCCGTACAGCCCGTACGAAAAGAAAGTATAAGAAGAAAAGCGGTCAGAAGATAAAACTGCAGTCTGAATGTTTTAAATTTATTTTGGCATCCTTATTAGGGGGCCGCGACGGGGCTGGGTAGCTTCAGCTGTATGAGCACTACAAGGTACGTAGTGACGGCGCTCATCACCTGGAAGAGAGAGAGAGTCTATCAAATCCAGAGTAAACAATGTTGCACACATCTCCACTCTTGCTGTACTCACGGTGCACACCAACGGCAGGCTCAGGTCGAACACACCAAAAGCGCTTACGGTTATCTTGCGGTGCAGGAGGTGCATCGACAGAGACTTAAGCTGAACCGAGATCTGCCCGTCGAGCATCTCGTAGCTAACGGAGCGGCTGACTATCGACCCCGTGAGGAGTGCCTGTTAATACGTCAGGTAAAGATTTAGGGAATTGTTGTGGGAGGCTGATTCTTACAAACTCAGCTAGACTGTACCGCACGTACCCTGCGGCCATATTTAGTATGCAATCCCGCAACTGCTGCGTATTCACAGTTACATCCGGTAAGGGTGCGGGCGAGTGTGCCTCAGGGGTCATCCAGAAAGTCCGTCCGTCCTTCTCAGTTAACCTGCTAAGTTCCGCCTATGCAAGCTCTCATAGCGCCTGATAGGTAGGCAACGCCTCCCCTGCTGTGCATGCGTGTACTGCGGGCCGGCCTACCCCGAGTCTCGCAGGCGCCAAGCTCCCTGGAATTACCGAATTAATCTATGAGAAACTCCGACGTACTTTCGGAACGATCCCTTGTGGTCTTTGGACCGTGGCGCGGCCACTCAGTAGGCCTGGCCAACCGCCCGCCTCCGCGGAGAGCGGTGCAGTCGCACTACGAACTTGGACAAAAGGACTTGGACTTAGGGTGGTCCACGGACCCCTTCCTTTCTTTTTTACTTATACTGTGCCGCACGCAGGCGTGCGTGCGGGCTTGCCTACCGTCGCTTACCGCGGCGCCTTATGGCCGCGTGCGAGAACACTGTAAATCCGGGGCGTCCAGCAACTGTGCGACAAAAGGTGCCCGACTCTAAAACCTGTGCGACTTGCTGGACACCTCGTAGTTTGGCGCCCTTTCCCTGCAGAGGGGCCCAATCAGGGGGTGTCCAACAACAGGACACCCTACCTAGGCTTGGCCTGGACCCTTGTGCAGGGAAAAGGGTGCCAAACCAAATGGTGTCCAGCAGGTGTGCGACTTAAGTTGCAAGTTTTAGGGTCAGGCACATGTTGTCGCACAGTTGTTGGACACCCCCGATTTACAGTGTATGCAACCCGCCCGCACTCCTGCATCCGGTACAGTATAAGCAATTTAAAGGAAGGTGTCTGTGGACCACCCTGTGTGACTGTACCCCACACCGCAGCGTCTAAGGCAGGCCGGCGGGTGGAATTGGCGGGAGGAATCACCAAACAACTAGGGATTTTATATTCCAAATGCGTATTTTGGGGATTTTTTGTGTTTTTAAATCTTTTATTTTTAATGTGGTTTACTGAAAAGTTTGTCTTTTTCCTATTTCTCTGAGAGAGTTTCCCGTCTGGAAAAATTTTGGGCTATAAAATCCCTACCTGGAACTCGAGGTTTTTTCGACCAGCAACACCTACCTCCTCGATGGTGCTGGAGCACGGCTGGACGAGGGCGAGCATCCGCAGGAAGTGGCAGGCCAGCCACAGGACCTGGATCGTGACGAACATGGAGCGCAGCGACGGCGGCGGTTCCGGCCTCACCTCGGCGAAGGCGTCGGACTCGAGCACCAGGTCGACGATGAAGTAGGTGGTGACGACGAGGCGGACCACCAGCCCCAGCATGTTGCACAGCAGGAACAGGCTGTGCTGGCGCGCCACCGACTCGACGCACTGGCACAGCAGGTCGTAGGCGGTGGCCAGGCGGCCGATGGCGCGGCTCTTCCTGTCCGTGTTCACCACGGTCTCTGCGGCCGGCCGAAGGGTCAGGGACGCGGCTGCTGGACTACAAACGGGATGCCACGCACAAAGTCTTACCGTGGACCTCGGCGGCGGGGTAGTCGGAGAGGCAGTCCGTCAGCTCGGCGTTGATGGTGCGGAAGCGCGCGCGCACGCCGCTCACGTCGTCGACGAACATGGCCTCCCTCATGTAGGTGATGATGTACGCCAGGTACGACGGCATGGTGTGTATGGCGTACTGCTCGTCGTCGCACAGCTTGTAGAACAGGTCCAGCAGCGCGACGAACGAGAGGGTCATGAGGAACACGAGCAGCCAGCGGGGCACCGCGTAGGCCCTCGGCGCCAGCAGGCTGTCCACCTGCAACCATGCCGAGGACGTCATGGTGCGCCCTTTTGGCGCGATGTACCCCTGCTTGTCACAGTGAGGAACAGGTGTGTCGAGCCGAGGCGAGACGAGGTCGATTTATCTGTATTCGCCGCCCTTTTTTCAACATCGTTTTTGACATTGATGTGATGGTTGTGCTCACCCTCCTGAGCTGGGCATTGAGGCGCAGCACTAGGTGTTGGGTCGTGGCGGCCTGCAGCACGCACACGGCCGCGATCACGCTGATGGTCGTCATGTCGAACAACCCTACGAGGCGGGTGGTCTCCTGGCCGCTCGTGGACGTGACGTTGGCGGCCAGGGCCTCGTCGAGCAGCGACATGTCCGCGTACTTGTGCACGAGCTTGTAGGCGGTCCAGCCCACCACCAGGGTCATGAGCGACAGCGAGTAGAGCAGCCAGCCGAGGGAGGGCGCCAGCGGCGGGCACCAGCACCGCGCCCACCGCGGCCCGCCCGGCACGGAGAGCCGCTGGGAGAGACGAGACGATTGGGAGAGTCAGGACCAGCGTCCGGAGAGATGATGCAGGTGTGCGGAGTGGCCTACCTCGAGCGGGCGCAGGCGGCGGCGCTGCACCGCGCACTGGCACCTCTGCAGGGACATGGGCAGCAGTCCGAACAGCCTGCTTGTCGGCCAGAGCCTGTGCAAGGGTTGAGTTTCGGGTTTCGATTGCATTATGCAGTGAATTAAGACGGTAGATAGAGACGCCAAGGCAGTGAAAAGGGGGAATAACAACCTAGTACCCACCAGTCGTTCGTCCTCTCGAAACTCTCCATGTCGCCACTGCGTGCAGTCCAGCGGTCGTCGTGGCTGCGGCCCGTCTATTTGAGCTTAACGTCGGCGAACTGAAAGGGCCGCCCGTGTTGTGCAAAGACCACGCCGAGATCAATATCGGCGCCTACGGTTCCACAAACTTGGGACGAAATAGTAAGGAAGGGGCAGGAGGAGAGGGAGCGAAGGATTGACAGCTTGAAGTGCCGCACTGTTCACTCTTTTTTACTTTCCGGTCTCTCGTCCTCTAACTGCGTTTCCTAGTCACTCTTTTTCTAGTGCTATCATTTTATTACCACCTAACCTTTCAGTTTGAAGGGAACGGGGGGTGGGGGAGGGGGTGACAGTAAGAAATAAAAAACGATAAAACGACGTCGACGTAACGACAACGCTCGGCAACATTCAAACTGGGTGGTTCGCACTGGAGCCGTATCATGTTCCCATTCTTTCCCCAACTCCTTAACTTTTTCTCAACTTTTCCCTAACTACTACTCAACCTTTTCCCAGCTTATCCCCAACTTCTCATCAACCTAAATGGAACAAAATTATGTACCGGGTGTAACTGAGAATGCGCAACAGTGTTGCGGGTTTGCCTACCCAGTTAGCCCGTAAGGCGCCATGGCCCCTGCAGCCCTGGCGGGTATGCAATCCCGCAACACTGTTGCGCAATCTCAGTTACACCCGGTAGGTGTAGTAGTCTTAGTACCTCCCCACCTGAAATCTTAAACGAAACAATCTCTTTTATTTTGCACATAATGATGATCTGTGGAGATTCTGGTATTTTAAAGGGTGGCTTGACAGCGACAAAATTGAACACAATATTGATGGCTCAACATTTTTTATTTCAGAATTAATTGAGATCATGGTCCATACTTATTCACCAGGTAACAAATATTTGGTGTCAATGTCTTCAGTACATACAAGAATTTAAACAAGGTAATTTTAGGTAATTTTATTAGCCTGGGTAACATTTTGAAACTTGAGATAAGCACAGTTAGGCCCATTGAAAAAGGACTATTGAGTTGCTAGTCCCTAGGGGTTTCTAATTAGTGCTACTTCTTCAAGGTTATTGACCATCATTATTACACCTTACTTTCTTTAATTATGGATGAAGATGGAGGTGTTACACCATCAACCACTTTTTCATAATTTTTAACAACTTCTGTTCAGCAGGAACTCAGCCAATAAGTAAGGTAGTTTTCCAAACGCTTCTTTATGTAAAATAGTTTTGCTTTCTATCTAAACTCAAATTTGCTCAAAAGTGGTCTATTATGAAAACAACATTGATAGTAATAGGCCATTGTAGGGTTAAATCATAACATTTGCAAACAGGCGACTTAAAATGGCGCAATTTTGATGAAACCAGAGAAAAAAGGGTTCAAAGCTGGCAAGTGTCAATGAATTTCATAATGTAGTTCTATTATCTATATTACTATTTAAAACTTACAAAAGGCTACTGGTGGTGTTGCTAAATGCTATCTAAAAAAAATGGTCAGTGCTGGACGTTCTCCATTTCCAAGCTTATAAAATAACTGAGCAATGCAAAAAATTATGAAGGAAGAGCAGATCAATGCTATGGTCAGTGCCAGTGCCAGAGGACTATTATGAATAAGTTTAACCTACAAATTTGTAACATTTGATTTTTGATAACAAAATTTGCCTCTTTGGTGTTCAATTGACAATAAAATGTAATGGGAAAATTCAAAGGCAAGAATGAAGTTCCTCTTAAATGATTTTCATTTGCTTGTTAAGCAAATCACAATTTGTTTTCATGTAAAACTACTGTTATCTGCAGAATACCTGCATATTACCTGAGTTTACATTTTTCTCAAAGTTCTGAGACCTTTCTAAAAGGACTACAAATAACAGGCAAAATGATATTGGCTGGTGATAAGGATACGCAAGTGATCTTGCAACAAGGCTGACCCATACTGATGGGTACTTTGAGGTTCCAAGTCGTTTTAGAGACCTTGAATTGAAACTTGCCGTGGACATTGGACAGTTTCTGGAAAAACAAAGAAAGAAAATGCTGGGCTCTCCTTGATTTGGCAATCTAGAGTCGTTGAAGCTAGCGACCAGCGCGACCCCCGCATACGACCCCTTGAAGACGGGATGCAGATTCTACCCGTTTCCCGGTACTGAGAAATGAAGGGAAGCAGTCATCAGATATAAAAGAGGGCGCTCTAGGGCGACCGGCGCAAGCCTGGGTGCTGGAAGGTGGCGGCGAGGGCGGCGCCCACGGCCGCGTCGCCGCTCTGCGTGAAGTGGACGGGCATCTGGTACGCGGTCGACACCTCGGCCTGCAGCAGCTGGTTGCGCACCAGGGCCGAGCCGCCGCCCACGATGCGCTGCACGCCGTGCCGGACGAACACCTCGCGCGGCATCATGTGGTGCAGGTTGCTGACGACGCCCTTGCACAGCGCGCGGAACACTGCGCCCAGGCCCAGGTTGCCCGGGTCCAGGTTGCTGACGACGGCGCGCATGGACGGGTCGTGGCGCTCCCCGAGCAGCGTGGGGCTCACGGTGGCCAGCCCCGCCTGCGCGTCCTCGTTCACGGCGAGGCCCAGCGCCACCGCCTTCTCCCACAGCGCCGCTGCGGAAGAGAACCACGAGGGTAAGTGACAAGTGACTAGACACGAGGCCATCTTGAAGAGACCAACTACTTACACTGGGGGACGTGAAAGCCCAAGTCCAGCGTCCACTGCTGCAGCATCCGGATGAAGGTGGCGAGGGCGTTGCCGCCGTTGATGGAGGCGGCCACGGCGAGGTAGCGACCCTCAAAGTACGGGAAGTAAAGCACGGCGGGCGACAGGCCTAAGTGCGACAGAGAGGCAATCGCGTTTAGAGAGTGAGCTCGGAAGGAGAGCGATATGTCTCATCAGTTCAGCGCCATACCCGAGCTGGAGTCTAAGGTGTCGGGACGGAAGCCCTCCGGCAGGACGAAGGCGATCTGCGCCGAGGTGGAGATGTTGAGGACGGCGTCGCGCGCCTCGTGCAGGGTGCCCAGCACCGAGCACTGGAAGTCGCCCAGCGCGCTGCCGACGCTGGTGCCGGCGGGGATGCCCTCCCAGGGCTCGGTCAGGGTGCCGACGCTCTGCTCCGAGTGCACGATGGCGGGTAGCAGCCGCACGGGGAAGCCGGCCTCGGTGAGCTTTTCCACCTCCCAGGTGGCGGCGGCCGCGTCGCAGTAGCCCCAGCTCGCCGCCGTCTGCACCGACATGGCGGGCCGGTCCAGGCCGCACAGCATGGCCGTCACCAGGTCCTGCACCGTGGCGGCGTGCGTGAACCTCTCCAGCTCGTCCGGACGGTGCTTGGCGAGCCAGAAGAGCGTGGCGCAGCCGTAGCCCGAGTGCACCACGGAGCCGGCGATGGGCTGTGGCAGGTCCTGCAGGAAGGTCGGCGAGCAGCGGGAGTCCTGCCAGGTGTAGAGCGGCGACATGGGCACCGGGCAGTCGGGCTGCATCAGCTCCTCCAGGACGAGCCGCTGGCCGGCGGCCTGCTGCCACAGCACCACGCCGTGCATCTGACCGGACAGCCCGATGTGGCGCACCTGCGAGGGACAGGGAGAACGCGGCATTAGCAGTAAGAGAGAGAGAGGAGCACACACAACAGGACCTCACCCGGGCACTCACCTGCCGGAGAAGGTCACGCGGCAGCCTGGATATGCAGTTGTGCAGGGTTGACAGGATCTTGGGTACGTTCTGCTCGTGGCCGTTGGGGGTGCTGGTCCGGATGTCGGCGGCCGTGTCCTTGGCCTGGCGGGCCAGCACCGCACCGCAGTCGCTGGCGCCCTCCCCCTCCACGGTGCCGCCCGCCGCCGACACCGTCTTGCCCGCCACCACCAGGCATACCTGCAAGGGGAGAGCGGACCTTGTGTGAGAGCCGAGGAAGGATCCGGGCAGTCGCCGGCGGTCTCGACCCGCCACGAAAAACCCGCCTCACCTTGACGGAGGTGGTGCCGATGTCGATCCCCAGGACGAGATGCTGGTCTCCCGGCATGACGCCGGGGGGCAACCGTCAGGAGGTGGTGGTCGCCACGCTGTGGACAGAGAGGAGGGCGCGTTAGTCGAGGCGCTCGCAGAGCCGTGGGTTTGGACTGCTACGCTAAACTACTGCAAAAGCCCAAGCAGGAAGGCCAGGCGCCCGCGAAGGCCGAGGTAGGCAGCCCACCACGCGCGCGCGGTGCGGCCTACATGCGGGCGTCAGCGCGGAGGTAAGGTGGTGGGATGAGCCGAGCCGCAGCCGGCACGGCCGGGCGCAGCCGCGGGGAGCGCGAAGTTTATTCCTCCAAGGCCCTCTGCTCTCGAACTCCTCACCCCCCAAAATCCACCCTCCCCCCACTCCCGCTCTCGCATCCCACCACCGCCTTACTCCCGGCGGGCGCACGCCGCCGTACTCGGCATACCGCATCCGAACCAACTTGGGCCGCTCGCCCCGCCCCGCCCCGCCTCGGCAGACCCAACCCGCCTCCCCGCACGCCACGCACATCAAATACACCTACGTCGTCTCGAAACTCATAGCATGTTGGCAAAGGCGGCAAGGTGAAGCGGGCGCGCGGGATGCGGCGGGGCGCTACGGCTCCACCCGGCGCGCAGTATGTCTAATGGAATAGCGTCCCTAGCGTCCCCGCTCCGGGGCTGCGGTGGCCGCGGGCGGGGTGGGGTAGGGCAGGGTGGTGGGGTGTGATGGTGCCGACCCATCCAACGAAGTATAGTGCCGCCAAGCGCAGGACCGCGCGATGTCGCAACATTCGCGCAACTTTCTTTCTGCGGATCTGACGTGGATGGGTCTATGCGTCAGTATCGTTCGGGACCGAGTAGTGGTGGGCAGTGCGACAGCCGGCAGCCGGCCCAGCAATATCGTCATTTTCAGGTACTGGGGGTCGGCTTCAAAGCGCAGGCAAACCACCAGGCCTGCGGACACTGATAGGGTAAACTGTCCGGCCCAACAGCCGCCCGTCCTCTGAGCCTTTGTTCCGGCGATGGGTATAACTCGTGTACTTGAGTCAAGCTAGGGCACGACCTTCCGGACCTGGACCGCAGCGGGGGCCCGGTGGGGCCCGGCTGGCCGGCACCACAGTCCCTATGGTTTGAATGGAGGCTGATTGCGTCGAGGTGGGTACAGCAGCGCGGGATTGGGGAGGGGGAGGGTGGTCCCCCGACAACAGCAGCGCAGGGCGCTCCGACATTCGCCGACAACGGCTTTAGACCACACGAGTGGAAACAGATAGCGCCACGCGGCGTCGCCCCGCCACGTCGGCCGGAGACGCAGCAAAAAGAACACGCGGGGGAGGGGAAATTATTCCTCTTTATCTTCAGTTCGTTTCGTTTGCGTTGTGATAAAATGACAAAAGTAGGCAGAACGAGCGACGCGGTGTCAGGTGTCAGGCGCTTCACGGCCCTTTGTCCTCCCTCCACCCTCCTGCTCCTCCTCCCCTGCCCGAGGCCCCGAGGCCCTGCTGCTCGATAGCCCCGCGCCCGCCCCGCGCGAAGGGCGTGTCGCAGAGGCGATTTATGTATTCCCACGTCGAGCGCGAGCGAAGTCGTTCGCGGAGCAAGTGAAGTACGGCGTAACGCTGATGGATGGGGGACCAACAGATTGCCCCCGTCCGTCCGCCCGTCCCGCCGCGAGTCCAGCAGCCGGGTGGACGGAGGATGAAGCCGGCGACCGAAGTGTAAATCACGGACGGACTCGCAGCCCCTCCTCTCTCCCCGCCGAAGGACCCGGTAACTTGACAAAAATGTCGTTACATTTCTTACGTTTCACCTTACGTTACGTAACTGTTTGTAACTTACAGTTCGGTCGGCATGTTACGTTAATTCGTAACGGATGATATGGAGCCCGCAATGTTACGTCAAGGTAACTTTCGCGTTATCTCAATAAATATTCGCGGTTTCTTTAAGCTGTTTTCGGCATTTATTTTGAAAGATGGATACCAATCCCCTGTACTAAAACTTAGTTACTCCACAAAATTACATGTAACTTAATATTACCGTTACGTTACAAATATCGTAACTTTAAGCCATAAGAGGATACGTTAGGCATTGAAACTGTAACTGTAACACACAAGCCGTAAGTTACCGGTCCAGGCTCCTCGCCATCCTCCGACCTTTTCCTCCGCCACTCTTCTCTCCTCCATCTCGCGAACAGAATCTAAAACTACACGAAGTAGCCGGGGGGCATCGCGACGATTCGTGACAAAATGAGAAAGTTCCTTGAGATAGAGAAGGGAGGCTTGAGCTCGTCGCGTCCCGTCCCAGTCTCCCCTGTCAGTCCGGTATGGCGACCCGGGAAAGGCGGTGTGATGGGGGGAGGGGGCGCGGTCGGCCTTGCAGACCTCGGGGGGTGGAGGGAGGACGAGTTGAGTGAGTGAAGTGCGGGATGTGAGAAATGGCTGAATTTTCCATGAGTAATTTGTGCGCGTCAGACCGGGGTTAGCGAAGGGAGAAAAAAAGAGAAAATGTCTGACTGCTACTAATTTGACTACGCTCGTGTGAAGGCCGACGCAGGGACGGCCGGTTAGCCACCTAATTGGATGGGGGGTGGGGGTTGCGTCCGCGGGCTCGCCCGTATGTGTGTTCATTGGGAGAGAGTGGTAGAAGTAGAAAGTGGAGATTGGTGGAGCTGAGGGCGCGGCCGGCAAAGGAAAAGGGGGGGGGGAGGGGGATGAAAGAACTCGAGTTTGTAAAAGGCGCGCGCGCCCCCGACCGGGGTAATCGAAGATAATTGGTTGTCGATTGCTGCCATTTTATCTGGATCAGCGCAGAGCAGACCGCGCAGACGGAGGGAAAGGGATCACGATCACATCGTTGAAAGTTGGGTTCTCCCCCTTTTCACAGGTCCGCGCGGAAGGGGAGAGAGGGTGGCAAGACAAGAGGAGAAAGGAAAAGGAAAGGGAGTCGGGAGAAAGGAGGGGGCTGCTGCTACTGCCGGCTACTACCCTCCTACCCCTGCCACCGCGCGGTGTTACTCTTTGTACCGCGCTCTAGCCCTAAGCCGTGGAGCGGACTCATTCGGGCCGCGAATAAGTCCAAGAGGACGAAGCAGCGGCGCGGCGGCGGCGGCGGCGGCCGAGGAAGTGCGGTGGAAAGAGGCCAATTGAGTCGTCTTGGTCGTCTCTATCTCCGCTGCTGCGGCCCCACACCGAGACGCACGGCTCACCGCTCTCGGCACCGAGCCTACCGCCGCGACGCTCATCAGGCTCACCGCTCGCACCGCCCGTACGCTCCGTCGCTCTGCGTCTTTGATGCGCCGCGTGTAGCACTGTGGGGGCCCCCCTCCCCCTCCCTCTGGACTGATGGGCAGCCTACAGGGTATCCGCATTACATTTGCGGGGGGCGAGGGCGGCGTCACGCTGTCACGCCACTGCTCGGACGTCGCACGCCACTCACTCACGCTGCTTCTGCTGCTGCTGCCCTGCCGTTACTCGCGGACAGTGTTTTAATAATAAGTGGTATGGGCTGCTGGGGGAAACAGTTGAAGGGACGGGACGAAGACGCCGGCGCTAGCCGCTTGCCCTGCCACTGCCACTCTGGTATTCTCCGAGCTTATTGAAATGGAACGGGAGACGTCTGCGGGGGGCGGGGGCGTCAGCAGTCGGGTCTCAGCTGGCTGGCCCCCCTCTCTCCCAGGGAGGGAGGGCAGCGGCGAGTGGGATATGAGACGACCCTTACGTATATTTCAGATGGCCATTTATCTGATTGGCTCGTCGCCGCCGGGTGGGGTGGGGGGAGGGTCACGGGAACACGTACACTACCACCATCCCCGCCTCGCCAGAGACGCCGGCGCAATATTCGACAGCCAGTGACGATCACGTTATAAACGTCGGCGGGGCTTTTTGTTTCCGAGCAGTTATTTTGGCACTGGCCTTTGCCCCATGACGACGTAGAGAGAGAGAGGAGGGTAATGGTGGTGGTGATACGACGATGATTGCCAGCACTGTCCGTCCGATCTGCTGGCAGCGACGAGGAAATATGGGCGTGAGCGAAACAGGCGGATGGGAGGCGAGGCGCGTGGCGTCAAACTAGCGGGCGGCAACAAAAGCGACATACGGGACGGGCGCGGGGCACGGAGGTATTTTTAGGAGGGGGGGGGGGCGGTTGTGTCGTTTGTCGGTCCAGAACGGCTGGCCGCGCGCGGGTCTGGCCGGGGCCGCGTTGAGAGAGTGGGGTGATTAGTTGGCATTAGTGCAGCGAGTGGGGAAAGGGGTGGGCGGAGGGATTTAAGTGAAAAGCCCTGCAACCGCCGCCGCCGCTGCTGCGCCGCAGGCCAGAGGGACAGGGGGCGCTCAGGCAGCGGCAGCGCGAGAGGCGGGCCGGGGGTAGGAGGAGGGCGACCCCCCCGTCGGCAGACTATTATCACGATTACACCCGTGTGCTCGTGTCGTGTGGCGGCCCGCCAGGCCACCGGCCGGTCGCTACTTAGGAGTAGAGTTCGCCAAGCTCCCCTGCCCC